AGGGACCATCCGGCAAGGATCACTCCACTCTTCCCCTTTGGTACCTTGAACAGAACGTTTATTCCCAGATGGTACAATCTTTTCAAAGAAGATGGGTGGGCAAGGGTTGAGGGAGGAGAGGCACTTGACTTTGACTGCCTCCCCTTTCTTTGCTGTGTGCCGTGACGTGTGTAGTTCTTGGCCTTTTCTCTGTCTGTCTGTTGGGCAGTGAGAGACCCCCTCACTGCACTCCCACTTGGCCGGCTTCTGGGTCTCGACCTGCTGCCACCAGCAGGGCCGCCCCGATGGCGAGCACACTCCACTGGCCGGCGGTGCCAATGCTGCCCCACCGCCCGTGACTGTCAGAGGGGAAGGAACGTTCTCTTAGGGTGTTACTGCTTTTGCTCAGACTTTGCAAAAAATATATATATACATATAAATATATAATTATTAATCATCTCTGTCCTTGAGAAAGTCTTGAATGAATAGAGAATTTATTCCACTGCAATATTTGATTGTATAGAGGCACACTGTTTCATCAACAGAAGAAGCGAAAAGGCTGTGTCTAAGTGTTTGGTACCATGTACCACCTGTTATTCTTCTAAAGCGAAGTATTCATGTACCTAAACCACCTTCTATTTAATTGTGTTTGATTTTAAAATATATATATGAATTATATTTAAAATTGTGTCAACTTTCTGCTTTCAGGGCATTTATGGTTCTTCTATTGAAATGTGTTGATCCCTCCAGATACTTCCATTTGCTTTACCAAAACCCAGAATGTGAGCGGCTCCTGGACTTAGCCTTGTGTTTGGAGTGAATGGCATTAGACCTGAGGTGTTATTAGATGCATAGTCTGTGATTGACTCAAGTCTGTTCTTTTAACAAGTACTTCCATCCATTTCAGTTTGCATCAATCTCTAAATAACAGAAAAGCAATATAAAGGTCACAGAATAAACTGATTTTGGGCGACTCTTACTGCCTCTGCATGTTTGGGAGTAAATTTCTGTACAACTCGAGGCTGCATAAACTAGTGCTTTCAGTTAAGATGCTATCTGGTCATTTCTCTGTGTACGTTGTGTGCTTCTGAGCTAGAGATGTCAGTGGTTCTAAGGTTCTTATAAAGAGAAGAACAGCACGTATGAGACTCGGTGACTTTCTTCTGCCCCACCTGCTGTAGGACACAAAGCAAAACGTGGCCTGAAGCAGTGAGGCCTACCGGACGTGCGCTCTGGCTCAGCCCTCGCTCTCACTGGCGTTGCGGGGCTGGCTGCATCTGGCGGTGCTGCAGGCTCTGTGCAGGTGCGCACAAAGGAGGAGTCTCGGGCAGGGTTTTCATAGGTTCCAGAAAACACGTGAAGCCCCGTCTTTACTGTGGTGTTGACATCAATGCAAATTGTTTAAAAAGAGAAGGTTTTAGTGGAAAGGGGTACCTTTTGTGACTGGGTATGTCTTCAGCCCTCCTGTGAGATTTGATGAAAGTTGAAAACCAGTCTCAGCAGGTCCAGCAGAGAGCAGCCAACTGGAGAGCGCCTTCCGCAGCCCCGCCTGCGCCCGGGCTCTGGGCTAGTCTTGGAGCTTCAGCCACTTCGGTCAGAACTCGGAGGGGAGCATCACTCCGAACAGGACACAGCAGACCTCGGTCCTGTGTGTTTAAGTGCTGCTGGCTAGGCCCCTCTGAAGCGCTGAGCGCTCTGCTGGCACTGCTGTGGGGCCGCGTGTGTACAGGAGGACCTTCCCCTCCCTCCCCGCCACCCACAGCAGCTGGACAGGGTTGAACTGATCCAAACAGGCCCAAGAGAATTCTTTATCCTAAGAATTGTGCAAGGGGAAGGAGAAACACCAGTCCCCTCCTGGGGCTGCAGCTCGCCCAGGCCCCTACGGAGGACAGGCGGGCGTCTGTGGAGCTGGAGACCAGAGACGGGAGAGCCAGTGGGCGTGGAAGCCGCCGCTGGGGAGGACGCGCAGGTCCCTGGGTCCAGTCCTGAATCCTTGCCCTGGACGCCAGTCACCCTTCAGGTGTCCTCAGAGTGCATTTTGCCTTTTTAAAAGTCAGTCTGAAGTGCGTTTTTATTATGTGTAACCAAAGGACCTTGACTAAAACTCGACCAGACTGCTCTGATCACTAAGGGTGTGCCTGCGCAGCATGTTTGCAAAGCACTGCAGAATTCTGGAGAACTTGTCTTTAGTAAGCCTTCCTTGGTCATTTTGTGTATGCTCTCGGCGCTAAAAGACACCCTCCCTTTTACAGGGAGGAGTCCCTCAGGCCAGGAGAAGGGCAGGGCTTTGGCCTGTTGTGGGGCGTCGCCTCCTGGACCAGGCCTTTGTCCTCTTCCCAGCAGCCCTTTGAAGGGTGAACACCATTCCCACTTAGCACCTAGAACCCAGGAGTTTCTACTAGTGAGGAGCCAGTGAAAGCTCCAGACGAGGGGGTCGTGGTGGTCACGGGGTTTGTAAGTGCTGACCGCCTCTGTCCTGGGCCAGGGGCCTGGCCTCTGGCTGAGCCGTCAGTGGCAGTGGATTCCAGCAGGACGTCAGGTTACAAGTTAGGAGACCCTCAGGAACAGCGACCGTGCGGGGCCCCCTGCAGACGAGCCCCGTGGGCCCTGAGGGGCCTCAGCTTGGGCAGGGGTGGGTGGGGGTGACCTGCAGGGGCATTGCCGGGACCCTGCGAGCCATCGCCTGGAGGGTGCTCACATCCCATCCGCTGCCTGTCACGTGGGGTCTTGTGACAGGTGTGCCCTCCTCGGCCCCCTTCGGACCTTCTGCTCCAGCCCTGGCCCCTGGAGTCCCGACCCTGCTCAGAGCACTAGTGCGCCGCCTGGACACGGCTGAGCATCTCCAGGGCCACGTCTCAGTCACCCCAGAGGAACACTGGGAGCCCAGGCGGGGGCCCCAAGACGGGCTTTGGTTCAGCTGAGGGGAGCTGGAGTTCGCCCAGGAGCCGATGAGGATTGTGACGGTGGCACTTCCTCGGATGCCCGAGCCCCTCTTTGACTGTGTCTTCAGGCTCAGCCCCAAGTGATCTCAAACAGGCCTCAGCTTCCATCCCGTCAGGACCCCATGGTCCCTGCACCCTGGGAGAGGCTCGGGCTGGCCCTCCAGCCCCCATGCTCACCAGACCCAGCAGTTCCTCCCAGCAAAGAGCCCTTGTTCCTTCTAGTGACAGGACTGCTGGGTGAGCCATGTGCCCCCAACATGCCTACGGCATGTCAATGGTGCAGGGACACAGGAAGGGGTGGGACACTCCTGGCCCCAGAGCTTGCTTTGTACTGAGGGGACAGAAGCTGGAAGTTCCTCCAAAGTGGGCGCTGCTGTTTCAGATTCAGGATGGCCTTTTGAACCTGACTTAACACCCCTTCCTCCCAAGGTCCTGCCAAAAGTCTCCAGGCTGCTGTGACCTCTCGTGCCACGCTCCCCTGAGCCCAGCTCCCCCGCCCCCCAGGACTGGTTGCGGCACGGCCCCATTCCTTCCTGATGGGGGACACACTCAGGTGTGGAGCACCTGCTGACAGCGGGGTTGGGCGCCTGAGGCTGCCCAGGCCATCTCAGCCCTGGGGCACCCTGGGAGCTGGAAATGAGACCAGGGAAGGGTTAATTCTGTGCGTGTGATAGAAAAGTCCTGACAAATACTGTGTTGAGCTGATGCCATGTGGTGACAGCCCCTCCCTCGTCTTTAACAGGAATCACGTTCAGCACTTGTATGTGCTGGGCGTGCGGTCTTGTGAGGGCGAGCCTCCCCCATGGACGAGGAGGCTGGCGGTTCGGAGGTGAAGGAGTTCTCCGGCTCCCTCATGCCGGGAATCTCCCACGCTGCTCGGCTGCTCCGCACGTCCTGTGGGCCCGCCTCTCGTTCTGCTGCAGCTTAGGCCTCACTACAGGCTAGGAGAGCAGATGTTCAGGGTCTAACAAAAAGGTAGGGGGCTGTGCCTGTGAAATTAAAAGCATTCCATCCATTACCTTAAACCTTCACGTGCATCCGGGTCCCCGGAGAACGGGTTAAGACCACCCCTCCCCCACCGAGTCACTCAGTTGGGAGATCTGGGGTGGGGCCTGACCTGAGAATTTGCATGGTAGCCAGTTCCCAGCCCTGCTGCTGCTGCTTTGCTGCTACTGCTCGGCCTTAAAACCTTCCCCGTAACTGGGAAAGGAATGTCTTCACTCCCTTTTATTGGAAGTGTCTGTGCTACAAGGCAGTGCAATTTGAGACCTTCAAGTACAGAAATCCTGTATCAGTATTTGGATGTTTGTCAAGGCCAAGAGTCCCCAGACACCAGTCCACCGTCTGTGTCAGTAGCTAGGTGGGTCTGGGGCCATCAAGGTGGGCGTCTCCCCCTGGGGTAAGGTCAGACCAGTCCCGGCTTCCCGGTCTTAGCTCCCCGGCCCCCAGTGCCTTAGCTGGGGACAGTGCACCTGACATGTTCCTCCAGGGCTGAGGCTGGGCTGTGGGGGTCACACCTGAGGTCCCAGTGGAACCTTTGGCACAAACCCAGCCTGGCCCATTTCCTTCCAGTTTGTCCCCCAGGTCCTCACTGCGGCCCTCTGAGGCCCTGGCCAGGCCATCCTGCCTGCCTCCCTCGCCGCACTTTTCCAGGTCCCTCCCCTGGGGCACTGGCACTTCGTTC